AATGCCAAATAATTGTAAAGCAATTCTGTTACAAATGCATGGTTTCTCATTATGATTCCCACGCATGCATGCGCATGTGCATGGATAGCAATGAACAATTAAGCACAACAGAAATTGAACTTTCGAGGCGAGCTGATATCACCTCAGCGGCAATGTATTACACTTGCGCCTCGATTCGTGAATCACAGCAAGAGTGCGTGCAAGTTTGCTTTGACGGTAGCAGGGAATATAACGCAGCACCCATGACGAGATAATATGGACATATGAACGTTGCAATGTTGAGTATTAATTATACAATACACAATGGAGGCCACTGTTTCAGGCAGCAAAGTGGAGGCGTGACACTGCTGAAAACAAACCGTCCACTGTTGTTGCCGAGTAAACTTTTCCGACGCGACTTTTGCTCCACTCCCATTCGTCTTGCCCCGGTGGGCATTGATCTCAGATGAGCCAACTCGGTATCAATTGTTGGCACTCGATTACACGCAGACTCCCGTTTCCTACTTTTTCACGACTGACAGGAAACTGACGAGAGCTAACATTGAGAGAGTTGTGGCCATACAGAGCGGGCACGTTTTGAATGACAATTAAGTGCACTTTAAAGCCGATTTCAATTTCTCAATGTAATGAGAAATTACACGAGGTTCACATACGCGCACACACACATTAAATAAATTACAGAGATGTAAATATGATTTCATGAGGAGAGGACGGAAAATAAGAGTAGTCAGAGAACTCTGAGGTGAAATCAAAGAAAACAACGTGATCCCCCATTCGGGTTTGCACATTTCTGACGGGAGTTGACACACACAACTCACTGGGAATTACAAACTCTCTTGGATGCATCGGGGATCCACCATTCACTGACTTGCAGAGGCCAAATGCTGAACAATGTATGGATGAAATACCAACGCAACTATGATTTAGTGTTAGATAGATGCAAGCTCGGGATGTTCATCCGATTTTTGGATTAATCAGAACATTTCAGGCCTAGATACATTTGAATGATGCAATGTCCTTTGTGTCGGATTGATCTGAAAACGTGGCGTTATGCTTGTTACAGGAAGACGGGTCACGTCTTTTTGACAATGTAAATTATCAGAAAATTCGTAGGAGAGAAAATTTTTTTGAAATTCCAAAATCAGGACTTCTTTCAAATTCCAAAGCTTATCCATAGCGTAAGCCCCAAACGCCTATTATGTCCAGCTACAGTCAAGGAGAGAGGACAATAGCGACGATAACAACGTTGCTGCAAGGTGCTTGGTCAAGGCGGTGTGTGTGTGTGTGAGACAGGGCTGATGCCTTGGCTGTTTTCTTGATGAAGCTCCTTGGCAACCCCCCCCCCCGCCAAGGGCACCGAATCGTTACGAGCTGGAGGTGGCGGTAAGTCACGGCGTTTCTCATCGACTCTGCCCAACACGCCCCCTCTCCACGGCAGCACCTTGCTCACACGCCGTCCATTTACTTTGGCTTTGGGGTCGTCCATAAATGACGTCACGCGATTTTGGACGATTTTTGACCCCCCCCCTCAAATATGACGTCACAAAGCTCTGTCCCCCCCCCCCAAATAATAAAACATCCTTCAAATCGCTTTAAACTATTGTCATTGTAGTGCGTGTTTAATGTGGCGCTGCACTCTGTTGAAGGAGATAACATTTATTAAAAACCGTCTATTTAATTAAGTAGAACGTGTTGTCTATATTTATTTAAAGTTGCGCATTTTGATGCGACGTCACATTTATCACCCCCCGTCGTCACACATCGTCCCAAATGTCTGACCCCCCCCCCTCCCTCTAGGTGCGTGACGTCATTTATGGACGGCCCCTTAGCTTGGCATCACCAAGTTGCTCTTTTACATACCTGACCCAACAGCTACAGTAAAAAAATTGAAAGTCATAGTTTGATAGCTTTCTTGCAAATTTAAACCAATTTTGTTTACCCCCACCCACCCCCCCAAAAAAAAATGCAATATCTTTTATCCAAACGGTCAATATCGCCAATTCCATTGTGGCCACCGAAAACTTCCGTCCCTGCCGTTACATCTCCCAACGGCTGTCGCATAGTCAATGCCCTCTTGGTATCCCGCCATCCATCTCTCCGGTTTGGTTCCCGACCTCTGGGTGCAAACGCGTAATTCCTGCCCCTCCTCCGCCTAACGCATGTGGCCCCGTGCCCACTGCAACCTCTTCTTCACGAGTGCATCCGAAACAACGAAAATTCGAGCCTCGTTCTGTTCCAAACTTACAAGTTTGCTTACCCCATTCCTGCCGTGAAAATCCTTGCACCCTCAAATCACAATTCTATTTTAGGATGTCTTGGAATCCAAGGACACAGCTTATTATCCATTTGAGAATGCAACTACTTCATATTTGAGAAAACGTGGTTTTGTTGTCACGTGTGTGCAACGATAATCAGAAGTCCGATTTGCAAAGCGCGATGTGTCTTTTGCTAATTGTCCCTGCTGACATATGCTTTCTCTACTTTCTCACTCATAGACACACGTGTGTTGACACACACACACACACAGTGATAACACACACACACAGTGATCACTGAAGCGACGAAAGCATTGATCAGAAAATGAAATGACTAAATTATCTGAAAACGCCTCTTTTTTTACATTTTTTCTTCCATTTACATCATTTGTTTACGAGAATTTATTGAGCGTCCATACAGGACGGGGCTATTGATATTGCCCAATGTCTTGTCAATCAAACCGCAATGTTTAATCGTACAGTGAAATGGATTAGTGGAAAAAAAAACAAATGTGTAAAGCACTTAACTTTTTTTTGACACCTGAAACCCAAGGTGTTTTTTTTAGTCTATTTCCCCAAGTGGCGCGCCTAGTTTATACACAAATCAGCACTTGGATTCAAACACAGGGACTCCAGCAGTGGTTCTAGAGCTCTGGCATTGCAGAGCTATCCATGTTGCCATTTCAAAACAAAATCACTTGCAGACAGATTAAACGTTATGAAAATGAGTAATTACAATGAGATTGGTGAAAATTGGATGCATTCAGATTTTATTACACGATGACTCATCAAAAGTAAGATATCTAAATGATAATACAGTTATAATAGGGTTTTCCCCCTTTTTTCTGGCAACAAAACTGAAACCTTTTTACAAGGATTCATGTCTGCATTAACCACAATACCTGCAGTCAAAATGCAAACAAAAAACATACTTTGATAATATATGATGCATTGCCCTTGAAACTGATTGGTCCACACCAAGGGACGGCTTTCTTTTGAGCCTCGAGGCCACACCAAGGGACGGCTTTCTTTTGAGCCTCGAGGCTCAAAAGAAAGCCGTCCCTTGGTGTGGACCAAACAGTTTCAAGGACAATGCATATCTTATCATAGTATGTTTTTGTTTGCATTTTGACTGCAGGTACTGTGGTTAATGCAGACATGAATCCTTGTAAAAAGGTTTCAGTTTTGTTGCCAGAAAAAAGGGGAGAACCCTATTATTACATTTTGGTACTGGCAAAGGAGGACTAATGATGATAAAAGTTGTTAATAAATGTATCATTTAAATACGATAAATTAACAAAAGCGCGATGATTATGTAAAGCCATTGCTTGTTAATGGTGGCAGATAAACTTTGCCGATATTTACCGGAGAGAAAGAAACGTCTGACGAGTGAAGCACGTGGAACACTTGCCACAAGCGATCAGACCGTGGACAATACAAAGAAGAAGGTACAACACAATGTGCAACGATACGTATTGATTTCAAAAGTTAAAAAAACACATTACAAACAAGTCCTGAGTTCGATTCCCCAGCCATGGCTAACATCAAAGATTAGTGATAACCTGAATTTGTCCGGAACCATACTCCACAAACCAATACGTATGGTGGTGTTTGGTTAAATAACCCTTCATCTAGCAGTGGATTGACACAATCATCATCAGCAAACTTGTATGTACGTATGTTGAACCGCTTTGCCACCGTACGTAGCCAACCGTGCAAATCGGAGGCGCTGGATGTAGGTATCCGCAAGCCGATGCCATACATTACAGCCTCGAAATGCACGCAACAATCCACCTAGCCACGTGATCCCCTCGCTCCATCTCATGGCGGACGTGCTCTCGGTGGGGTTCCCTCTCTTGGCCGTCACACACGCCACCGGTAAATCCCGAACGTGTCCAGCCCAAGCCCACATGATTTCCTTAAAAGTCACCGTCACGTGCCCCTGACTTGCATATGTTCTCCGATCCCGTTGTTTCTCACGCTGCATCTTTGTCTAATTCCAAGCATGCATCCCTCCGTGCTGCTTTACACAATTTGTCACGGTTTTAGTTCCTTGCGTGTTATTACAAGATAATGCACATCGATTACAATCTTTCTTCTTTAAAGAAAAAAGCACCTCGTTCGTGTTTAAATTAAGTCATTGTGTCTCTGCTCAGCTATGCAATGGTGGGGGAGCACTAACTTTAGTGACACTGAGCCAGTGGTGAAAATTCCACATTCCTGTAGCAGAGCCTGGCTCAGCACAAAACAGCCACTGTTGACTTACCACAGAGTTTCCCATTTTATAAACCCAGGAGGGATGATACACGATGTCAACCCCATCACTTAGTTTGAACTCACTCTGCTTACAATATATTTCAGCGCTCTAACCATACTACCACTGACTTGATAATACATTTTAATACATTTTGGATGGTAAAAGTTGACTTTGTTTTGTTTTAGAGCCACCACACATTTACGTCTATTGGAATTAATACAATGTCATCAGTCGAGGTCTGCATGGTTGACAATTGTGGTGAACAAAGGCCATGCGAGTCACATGGCAATCAAGCTCATAATAAAACTAAAATTCATGGAAGCACCATTATGGTATTTATTTAAAATTCGGTGAAGTGGCAAGGGCACACAATGAGAGACAACATTTGCAACGCTGATTGCAGCACAAAGCGTAACAAAGTATGTAAATGTCAACAAGCCCACTGGTCTCAAAGATGACAAGATGATGAATAGAGAATCGTTACTGACCTTTGAACCCTGAAAAAGGCAAAAGACAGGAGAGAACAGGAAATCGGATTAATTCAAAAACAAGCAGTATCTGAATACATTTTTTTAAAACACAATCAGTGATTTTTCGAAAAACCGAATGCTATACAAGGCAATGTTCAAGTTTTGTCAATGCGCCATTGGGTTCCATTGTAATATAGAATATTTGTGAAGTTTACACAAACATTTTGAATCTTCATGAACCAATCACACGTGCATGTGTAAGTTTGGAGTAAAGGGTTCCTAAATTTGTAATGCAGTGCGTGCACTATAAGCAAAATACTTTATTTTAATCGATTAATCTATCGGAATAAATCCATGCGCATCATTAATTTCAGTAAATATTCTGGCTCCGCCATGAGCTTTTCAACTCTATAATCGGATTTCAACTTTTATCAATAGATCGTATTTAGAGTACAACAATTATCGTGCACTGTGTGGGGTGGGCTAGGTGGCCCGTGTGTTTGGTGCACATTCTCAAATCCAGCCTCTTGACACGAGCAATGCATTTCATTATCATGCAAGAACGCACTCAGCTACCTCGTGTGATAATTAAACATATTGTTCCCATGACACTTAGGTGAGGTAACTATGTCCTTAATTCTGGGTCACCCATCCCTTTCAGCCAAGCTGCTGTCCTATAAAATAAATCAGCAGACAATACGCCGCCTTCACATATCTGTCTCTCGATATATAAAACGAAAAACCACACAAGTATTTCTGACACATCCCATAAGGTGAACAGCCTTCTGGGAATGCATAATTTAAGCAACACAAGCCAAACTCTGGGCCAGTTATATTATTCGGTAGAGGAGGTGCATCGTCTGCTTATTTATTTTGTGTCTCGTGTTCTCCACAACATAAATATAAAGCACTGATTATGAATGTGATGCTTCTGCATAAAAACCGTGATGTGAAGTCCAGGACTAGAGTCTTGTGTAAGAAGTGAAAGACATACATTTGGAGTTTGCATTATCTCTCCGTGGTCGCGTGAATTGTTTCTCCGGATCCTCCGGTTTTTCTCTCCACATTTAGAAGCTTGCATTGAGATTATTTATTATTATTTTGGGTGCTATAAATGCCCAAATGATGGACCACTTTGTTGAGCTATCATTTGTGATCAGGTCGCTTCTGAAAAATGTGAATACCTCATGGGCTTTGCCTGGTAGGATGGGGATGGTTTAGTTGTTGTATTTGTTTGTGTTTGGGTGATTTGTTGATCTTTCTTGTACTTTACACTACTATCACGTGTCGTTTGTACTGTTTGTTGTTGTAGCGTTGTTACCCACCCCTCCTGAACATCTGTGAAAAGGAGCTTTTTAGCTCATTGTATTCCTCCAGTCTAAATGCGCAGCTGTAAGGCAGGAGAACGGGGGGGGGGGGGGGGGGGGTGGGTGGGATGCTCACCGAAGGGGAGGTGGCAGCAGACAGCAGGGGCAGAATGCCCCCACAGGCGATGATGATGTTATCCACCATTTGGGAAATGAGGTGAATGGTGTTGTGCACAAAGATGATGTTCTCGTTGCTGTTGACAAAGTCCATGATTGTCTTCGTCGTGTGGCTGAAACAGGAGGAAGCAACTGATAGCACCCACCCGGGGCAGTACACGAGGAGCACACACAGAGACAAACATCCCCCCTCATAGCCTAAGAGACTGCCCCAGCATGTGCTGTAAGCGGACGCCTACAGTGAGGGAAAAAAATATCTATACATTCTAATGGTAGGTTTATTTTAACAGTGAGAGACAGAATAACAACAAAAAAATCCAGAAAAACGCATGCCAAAAATGTTATAAATTGATTTGCATTTTAATGAGGGAAATAAGTATTTGACCCCTCTCCACAAAGCCACTTTAAGATGTTTTTCTTGTTCATGTTTTTGTTTTTTTGTTTGTTGCGGTTGCACTCGATTCAAGAGCCGAATGGCTCACAGGGCTATACCAAACAAATGGAACGATGAAACTATGACTTGGTGGCAAAACCCTTGTTGGCAATCACAGAGGTCAGACGCTTCTTGTAGTTGGCCACCAGGTTTGCGCACATCTCAGGAGGGATTTTGTCCCACTCTTCTTTGCAGATCTTCTCCAAGTCATTAAGGTTTCGAGGCTGACGTTTGGCAACTCGAACCTTCAGCTCCCTCCACAGATTTTCTATGGGATTAAGGTCTGGAAACTGGCTAGGCCACTCCAGGACCTTAATGTGCTTCTTCTTGAGCCACTCCTTTGTTGCCTTGGCCGTGTGTTTTGGGTCATTGTCATGCTGGAATACCCATCCACGACCCATTTTCAATGCCCTGGCTGAGGGAAGGAGGTTCTCACCCAAGATTTGACGGTACATGGCCCCGTCCATCGTCCCTTTGAAGCGGTGAAGTTGTCCTGTCCCCTAGCAGAAAAAACACCCCCAAAGCATAATGTTTCCATCTCCATGTTTGACAGTGGGGATGGTGTTCTTGGGGTCATAGGCAGCATTCCTCCTCCTCCAAACACGGCAAGTTGAGTTGATGCCAAAGAGCTCCATTTTGGTCTCATTTAACCACAACACTTTCACCCAGTTGTCCTCTGAATCATTCAGATGTTCATTGACAAACTTCAGACGGGCATGTATATGTACTTTCTTGAGCAGGGGGACCTTGCGGGCGCTGCAGGATTTCAGTCCTTCATGGCGTAGTGTGTTACCAATTGTTTTCTTGGTGACTATGGTCCCAGTTGCCTTGAGATCATTGACAAGATCCTCCCGTGTAGTTCTGGCCTGATTCCTCACCGTTCTCATGATCATTGCAACTCCACGAGGTGAGATCTTGCATGGAGCCCCAGGCCGAGGGAGATTGACAGTTATTTTGTGTTTCTTCCATTTGCGAATAATTGCACCAACTGTTGTCACCTTCTCACCAAGCTGCTTGGCAATGGTCTTGTAGCCCATTCCAGCCTTGTGTAGGTCTACAATCTTGTCCCTGACATTCTTGGAGAGCTCTTTGGTCTTGGCTATGGTGGAGAGTTTGGAATCTGATTGCTTCTGTGGACAGGTGTCTTTTATACAGGTAACAAGCTGAGATTAGGAGCACTCCCTTTAAGAGTGTGCTCCTAATATCAGCTTGTTACCTGTATAAAAGACACCTGGGAGCCAGAAATCTTTCTGATTGAGAGGGGGTCAAATACTTATTTCCCTCATTAAAATGCCAATCAATTTATAACATTTTTGACATGCGTTTTTACGGATTTTTTTTGTTGTTATTCTGTCTCTCACTGTTCAAATGAGCCTACCATTAAATTATAGACTGATAATTTCTTTGTCAGTCGGCAAACGTACAAAATCAGCAGGGGATCAAATACTTTTTTTCCCTCACTGTATGAAGGCAGGCACAGTCCCACAAATTGGTGGTTTTTCTAGAAACCCACCACACAAAATGCCTTGTGGCCACAGAGACTGCTGGGGGAAAGTATTTTTAATGAGCACCTATTAAGGCCAGCATATCACGGGGTGGTCAGCACCATGCTTGGCCACATTTGTCTGTCAAGTGCTGACATTCACAGACTGTATCAGGTACTCATTTAAGGGCGAGTTAACCAAGGGAAACGTTGCGTATTCGCCCGCCTCCGTTATCTTATTCATGGAACCGATTTCAAGTCACCGTTTTTTTGCGGCAGAGAGGTGATGATAACCGCTGCACCACAGTTCCCACCGCACACCGAAAACAAAAATAACACTGGCGCACGTGTTATGAATGACACATCACAACACGCTGCAGTTCAGATTATCCGAGATCGTCGGCCACCTTTGATCACGTGTCATGGAGGTGCCGTAAAACGTGGCCCCAATCTGCCGAGGCCATACAAAAGAGAAGCCCTCATTGTGTTTGTTTGCGAGACAGCCAGCTCGGGGACGAGTGCGGCGCCTCTCAAAGGAGCCGTTGATAACTACGGAGAGCTCCAGCGCCCGAAACAAGGTCATGATTTCACAACACTGGTCGATGAAAGCCCGCACGCGCACGAGCGTTCCGGTCTGGTGGTAGCTTTCACGCCTCCGAGGTCAAGGTTCATTGGTTAGAGTCCCAGATCTTTCAGCCTTTAAGGCAATGCCTTGATTGCAAGGGAGGTGAGACCTAACCAGACAGAAAGGAAAGGGCTTCGGCCGAGAAACCTTACAAAATGCTAGCCTACGGGGATTTTTGCTTTATGTGGAAAAAATGAGAATTTCTGAGCGAGTTAAAAGTGAATGTAGCATTATAGCGGGAGGTGGCCTCAAACGTCACTGACAAGCTCCCATACTTAGAGAGATTTGAGCGATTTTAGCCTTGCGATTCATCTCCGATTAGCATGGTTGGCTACGTAGTTCAACAAAGAAGTAAAACATACATGGGCATTTCGTTACATTTGGACCAAATTTTCAACTTTTTTCAATCAAGCTAATGCCACACTCAGTATCAGAAACATAGCCGAGATTCTCTGACACATCATGATCTATGTATGTTGAACTTATTTCGCACTGTACGTAGCCAACTGTGCTAATTGGATGGGCGGGGGAATGAAAACAAACTGAACACAAAAAGCAGTTCTAAAGAAATTAGTTTTCAATCGAGATTTAAAAGTACATAGCTCCAGTGGCTTCCTAATATCGGAAAGGAAGAGCGTTTCAGATGGCCGCAGAAGTGCATCTGAAAGCACGTGATGCAGTGACCGTCTTTGTTCAAAGGCTAGCAAAAAGCCGCTGCGAGGATGACCGGAGTTTGCATGATGGCTTATGCTCTTTAACGAAATCAGAAAGGTGTTGTGGTTCATTTGTGGCAAGCACTCTGTGTGTAACGAGTGCAACCTTATGATGCATAAAACACTACAGTCAATTACGGGTAAAATAAATGAATGCAATGCAGTGACCTCTACTCCACCCAACAACATGGTGGGGTTCAAATCGCCGTGCGTCACGTGTCGGTGGCTTACGAAGGGCTGAGTCACAGCCAGCACAGGGTTTGACTTGTATACACAATGCAACTGGCATACCAGGAAGTCCCATTGCTTTCCTGATTAAATTTTAGTTCATACAAACAAGTAAATAAACCTATTTAACTGTTTATTTATTTCCCACGATTTTACAAAACAGAGCACAATTATTGCGATCGGAAGGCCTTGCGTAGTAAAGTGTGTGTATTCCCCACCTCTTCCAAGACCTCTGGTCAGCATGGAAGAGTCAGGCAAAATATCTTCTGGAGGGGCTCTCTCGAGCTCACTCGAGTGGAGACCCTTCCGCCAGCAGTTCCGTGACAAAGAAATTGCAGGGACTGCCACATGTAGCTTTATCCCTTACGACCTCCAAAAGCCATCAATATTGTGTATCTCCAAACAACCGCTCACTGTGGAATCGCAAGCTTTTTCTTGATTTCACTCACCTCCTCCAGATGTGGATGTCTGTCTCCAGGGCAAAGAGCAGGTCGTTGAGCAGGCGCTGGTGCATGGCCGACCATTTGAACTCTGGGATGCGGAACATGGTGGTGCGGGGTCCCGGGCTGAACTGGCGACGCTGCTCCTCTGTCATGGGCATCCCGCGGAATCCCAGGTCCACGCCCAGATCCCGCTCCTTCACCAGGCCTGCCTTGCCCTGCTGCATCGACTGCGTGCGGGCATTTCAAACCAGCGTGAACCGCTATGCACTCTAAGAGTCTCAAGCTGTATGACGTTTCCCACGTCCAAATAAATCCGAGACAGTTCTCACATATGGTCAGCAGTGTCAATTCAGCATTCCTTAATGGGGTGGGGGTAGATTTCTTGAAAGGATGATCACTTTTAGTGTCCCACAGAGTGAATTGACTAACCCCGGAGAGATGGTGGGCTGAGTTGACCCAGACAAGAAATTAAATTCACGGAATTCCGACCGGGAGTCAAACACTCGCTCTGCCAAGAGCACCACTCGATGTGTTAAAAGTTGACTCACTCTCCTAGAACATATATTGTTTAAAGGCCAAAAAATATTAAATATAGCTGAAATCAAAGGGAATAACGTGCTTGTGGGAAGATTATGAAAACATAAGCTTAAACAATGACATGTTGGTTGAAACAATCAAGTTCATCATTGCACTTCAGGAAAAAAAAAACTTTAGGAAGTTCTATCCACACCAAAAGTATATAGTTAGATGGCACTTCAATGAGAGTGCTTGCATCACGATTGGCAGTTGATGAAATAAATAAACAGTGATGATTCTATAGATGATCTGGCTCGAGTTGTAGGAATGTGGAATGTGTACCACTGTCTCTGAGCCACCAATGTAGGCACGCTCTGTGTAAAATTAATGCTAAAACATTAATACAATCTAAAACCTGCGGAGCTTAATAATTCGATCTGCCATAATATGCGGATGAATGTGTGCGGACTGCTGGTACCTGGGTGGAGGTCGTCTGTATTTTCCGGAGCTCCTTCCCGGCCTCCTTCCCATCGTCGGACTTCTCAGCGTCCGACGTGACGCTGGCAGCGTCCAGGTTGGAAATGGCCTTCACCGTGCCGACTTCCACATCTGCACACTCCACCCCTACATCGGAGGACAGCGATGCCTGCTTGGTGACATTAGCCACCACCTCCAGCTGCTGGTCAAACTCCTCCGGAGGCTTCAGGTCGGAGCTGGGGCTTATGGTGCTGAGGGGACCCTCCAAGATCTCATCGGTGTCGATGAGCGGTGGGTCCGGCTCAGAGTCGAGGATTTTCAAGTCTGAGCTCGTGCTGTCGGGGGGAGGGATGCAGGGGAATTCAGATGTTCTTTTCTCTACGGAAAACTCGCCAGGGATCAGCAGGTCGCTTGAGCCCTGCACCATCGTGGTAAGGGTAGACTCGCCCAGCTCGTCCAGCTTGCAGATGCCGTTGCCGTCCACCGCCGAGGAGGAAGGCGGCCGAGGAGCCGGCGCGTCGATGTCGTTGAGCATCGAATTGGGCAGGAGGATGCCCGCCATGGGCGTCTCTGGCGTCAGATCCGCCTCGTCCATCTTCACCTCCGTGGCCTCCACCTTCTCGGCACGCAGGTCATCCCCGCCCCCGAGCAGGTCCTGCAGCTCCTGCGTGCCGCTGCTCACGGCCTGCACCGCCCCTCCGCCCCGGGCCACGCCCACGGCCACGACGGCCGCCCCCACCGAGGCCGTCTCGCTCTCCGCCAGGAAGTTGTGCACCTCGACGGGGGGTGGCCGGAGGTCGGCCTCGCCATCCGAGGGGCTGTGCGCGCGCGCGTCGGCCCCTTCCTCCAGCTCGCGCAGCTGCGGGCCGTCGAGGGCGCTGCGCAGCTGGGCGGCCGACAGGCCCGAGATGGTGCTCACCGTGCCCTTGTTGCCGCGCTTGATGTTCTCCTCCTCCTGCCGCTGGTACTCCTCGTACATCTTGGCCAGGTACTCGCGGTGCGCCTCGTAGGTCACCTGACCCCGGAGGGGGGCGGGGGGGGGGGGGGGGGACACGGGGTGGCGCGAGATCGTCATGAGCTCCGTCAGCCAGTCCGGCTTGTTGCTCGTTTTGCTTGTGACGCGACGGTCGTTGCCAGCCCGCTTGTCATGGGACCCGAGTAAACTGTTTGGAATTGCGAATTCCTACGGATTGAGCCGGGCACTTTATAATAGAGCATTTATGAACGTCCAACAAAGTGGTCCTTATTCTTGGTTCTTTCGGTAAGAGTCACGTAGAAGGGAAACAATAAATAACAATTAAGAGCCAAGAATATGAATCCCTGCAGTCACCAAAGCTTTAAATCAAAAGTGGTCCTTGTTTAATAATGCCAGATATATTACTTGCCGAAATGACCATAAACCATTATTTTAACGTGAAAAATCACTAAGTGGCTCGGCCTATACGCCTAGTATTTATTATTAACATTTCACCAATATTCATTATATTCTGAATTATTTCACTGGGTGGTGGCGGTGGTGGGGGTGGTGGTTTTAGTGGTGGTGCTGGTGGTGCTTGTGGTGGCAGTAATGGAGGTGGTGAAGGTGGAGGTGGTGCTGGTGGTGGCAGTGATAGAGGTGGTGGTGGTGATGGTAGTGGTGGCAGTGATGGTAGTGCTGATGGTGGAGGTGGTGGGCTGGCCTAGTCAACATCGACAGTGATGTCAATGATGATGATGCCCAGGCAGTGGTGAGAGCGGAAGTGATGACGGTGACATTTTTCCATGGACAAGAGTCACCCAGAGGTGGTCACTGCAGGCACGACTGATTAATCTCTATTATCCATGCAAACGCAGGAATAAAATTAAAAACGCGGAATTGGATGGCGAATTCATCCTATCTTGCATGCTTTTTTGCAGACCTAACCCAAAGCTGACGTGAAAGTGATCTCCCACGAGGATATAATTCATTATCCATGCAAAATCGCAGCCGAGATGAGTGACCGAGATGTTGTTCCCAAACGTCCTTGTGTTCATCCACGCATTTCCAAGTGTACAAGGTGTAAAGTGCGTGGATAAACAGAGAAATAGGGTCTGCCAATCGCATCCCCTTTTCAGTTTAGACATGAGGAGTTCTACTGCGCTGCATTAAATACGAATGTCATATCGTACTCTGTTTGAAAAGACAATTATTAAAACTTCAAAAAGCCACAAAGGAGGAGAGGGCAGCATTAGCAGATATAAACAAATACAGATAAATGATCATTACTAAATGGACCCATCGGAGACTTTGCATTACGTGGATTTTTGTAAAAACGAATCGTCTGGTTAAGGATGGAGTATAAAAACTAGTACCACTTTGTGAAGAGTCAAAATTGGTTGCTCTCAGGATAGATTGGCCCCAGCACAGGAATATGGAATTTCTACCAATGGCTCACGGCCACAGCACACAGAAGAGCAACACTGACTGCTTACTGGATCATGAGGACCACTTGTCCTCTTTAGATCGTGAGCAAACACAGTATAGGGATACAAGTAATGATCGAATGACATCCAGAACATTAAGCACGTCACGTATTAAAGTCGTGACGATAGACCAGCTGAATTGACACAGTCGAGGAATATTTCAGAATTAACAATTTCTGAAGCTGTACAAAACAATGGAATGAGATTGGCCTACAACTTCTATACAGCCAGACAACTGGTTGATATTAATAATGGGACTCCCGATGCTGCTTCTCGGCAAGGTAGGACGATAATTGTGCCTTGCTGCTGAAGTTCTGGAGGTTATTATAAGAGCCCATGTTAGCGCCAGGGCCGCCTTGAGGTGCCAAGCTGCAAGCAGAAAACAGCAATGCGCTCCCTGTTTTCTGACACTCATGGCTTATTTAGCAAGTAAACTAAATTCCTGCCTCCAGCACGGTGTAATTACCTGGGCCCCAAGAACCCTCGGAACGAACAGCAGCCGGTCGATGCGCAGTGCTCCGAGGGTAAGGGGCATTGTTTCTACACTCGCATGACTCAAAAGATTACCGCTGTTTCAATATTTCATTAACGTGTTGCGTGCTTCTTGACTGGAGACCATTGGCGTTGTGGCGTTGCTTATTCTAACCATACAGCAGTGACAAAAAGCGTCTTCCCAATTAAGTGTTGGATGGGTGCTCATGACCACTACAGACCATAAACCAGTGGTGAAATTGCCACAATGTCAGTATATACAGAGGACAACTCGTGTTACCTTTCCACAAATTGGTACTTATTTTAATCTGCCCAGAATGGCTGTAGGCTTAGTTGACTGGAATTTGAGCTCACAGGCCTTGTGATTGTGAGTCAAGCACCCTAACCACCGTGCCACATTACATGGTGAGAATTTAGATTCGATGTAAAAATATGCTGGGAGCATGTCAAACATGGAAAATGTGGAAACCGCTGGCATGCACTGAGGTTTCCAATTCAAGTGTATTTTGTTTAACCAGGCAGCGGGACGTGAGTCCACTGAGAGGGGTTGATGATTGCTATAATCCTAAATTAGTAATTTGCGGGTGATTTCGAGGTGTGGAGGATTGCGCAAGTTGAGTGATGCAATGAAATGCTGCACATGACAGCAGGCGTGCCCTGTTTTGTGACACGAGCATAATAGCGGACGATTTCACTGTGTAATACTGTTCCCGATACTGCCAATTCATCTGCAGTTATACAATTAGTTGGTCGTCAGAGACTTAGAAGGAGGATGCCAGGAATTCCATGACAGGGGTAGAAGAAGGAACTTGGAAGTTCTGATGAGAATAAAACATGGCAAGATAGGGTTATGCTGTAGCTGTAACCAGGAAGGTTTCCATCAGTGAGGCACGTGTGCAGAAGGAATGGTGCAGGTGAAACTCAACTCAACTATTTTTTTTTATTTTACCAGGTAAGGCCCACTGAGCGATGTAGCTCCTTTTCAGAAGGGGCGTGGCCACAAATGATAGCTCAACGAAGTGGCTTATCACGTGGACATTTATAGCAGCCAGATACTCTGAAACGCATATTGATTCTAAATTTGGAGGGAAAAACCGGAGGACCCAGAGAAAAAAAACCATGCGACCACAGGGAGAGAGACAGGCAAACTCCAAACATACAGATGTCAGGGTCGGGATCGAACACACAACCTCCTGCATACCAGGCGAGGTAGTTAACATCTCGCCACCGCGACGCCCCAGGTGACCCTGACAGACGTTGGAGTGACACCCGGAGGTTGGTGAGCAAGGGAAAGTTGCGGATAAATGGTGGGATACTGTAAGTGCGGATCTCGGAGGTGAGGCAATTATTGAAGAAACTTTCCGTGATTAACGCAGGCCACAATTACTTTATTTGAACCTCGACCTTGGCTCCGGTGACATGAGCAAGCGTCAAATCGGCAAAGCGGTGTTGCTTGAATTGACCGCGTTACTTGTCGGGACCGCGCTAGGTTATAACGACCCCACCAGCCGCCCGAGGTCGATGCCTTTTCAGACGGGTGGGCCCACTCAAGCTTTCACGTAAACAAGGCCTTGTGGATTTCCACACAACTCTCTCTAAAATGTACCAGTCTTGTTTTGTTCAGTCTTTCAGTGACATGTTAATTTCAGTGCTGCTGCAGCTGCTCCAGCAGACCCACCTCTCTCTCTGCACCCCCCCCCCCTCTCTTTCTATTTAAAGGCCTCGACGCAGAGGCATTGGGTCTCTGTGTGTCTATGTTGTGTGTCTCTCTCTGCTTGTGTGTCTGTCTGTGTGTCTCCGTGTCTGTGTTTTGTCTCTCTCTCAAATTTAGTTCTGCCTGATGACGGTTGCTTGTGCTGCAATCGAAACGTCGTATTATATTACTGAATTTATTTTCTTTTACGTGACTTTACCGAAAGAGCCAAAGAGGAAGGCCTCGCCGTTTCACGTGCCGGGTAAACGTGCCGTGAAGGAGAACGTCCTCCGTGTCGAGCAGCACCGCACCTCTCACAAGGAGGCCCCCCCCCCCCACCACCCTCCTCTCCCCTCTTGCACTGCGCGGCGGTCCCGCGCACTGACCTTTGAGTGGGCAATGGAGAGCGTGTCGACCCAGACGCGCCAGCCGCCCCACTCGTACTTGATGGCGTGGTAGAGGAGGATGCGAAAGATGGAGTAAACCATTTCGGTAACCTTCTGCTCCTCGCTGCTGCGCGGGTTGATGTAGCCGAGCGAGAACATCCAGTCCTGCCACACAGAGCACTGCAGCAGGCACCTGCGCACAGACGTAGAGCGGTCACGTCCGTGCCCCCCCCCCCCACCCCGCGCCCCCACCCCGCGTGCGGACTCGCTTTCAAACATATACCGGTAAAAAAAAATGACTAATTTTTTTTTATTGTACCAGGTAAGGACCACTGAGCTACTTGGCTCTTTTTCAGAGTTAAACTTTTTCAGGGTAAAACTCACAACATTTACAATTTGGGTAGGACGTTTCGCCCAGTAATTACAATCAGCGTCATCTGGTGGGCAGCCAGAGTTGTGGAGAGATCGTTCTGTTGCGGTCTAAAGTAGAGAGATAAACGTAATGTCGCCACTTGTGAAGCAATCAGGTGCGAAGGTGGGGGGGGGGGGGGGGGGAGGGGGTTAATCTATGCATATAGAAAGAAAACTATTACTATTATGGATAATATTGGTCGCGAAAGCCTACGTGTTAAACTATCCCCATCTGCATGATTTGGAAGAAACATCATGCACAAGTAGATTGAAATGTACACTATTAACTGCCTTGCTTTTGTTAATCACTGAAAATACGCAATTCCGTTGATTATATCACGAGGGAATGTTTTTAATTTTATAGTCCCAACGATAGCGTGGAATTATTAAACGAAGCCAAGAACCAACATAAGATTAAATTGGGCTCAAATTCACTCAAAAAAGCAATTCCTCCGCTTACCCAATAAGGCCAGTACATGATAAGACAAACATAAGCTGGGGGATATACGCTCTGCTCTATCCCTGTGACTAAATATAAAAGCCAAGTCCACAAAGCTGGGTGAGCCAATCAACTGTAAATAATACTTTTTAAAAAAATGTATATTTTTGGTCTTTCGATGGTGCAATGGTGTGAAACCATTAAAGCTTGTAACACATGGGAAGCATTTTGCCCGAAGAAGCCATTGCCAAAGTATTCACTGCCAACGATGGGAATTAAATCAGGATCTCTGAGGCCACTGGCTTAGGATGAGTGCTCCAGTAACCCTGAGCCTCCTAGGTTTCTCCTTAGCGAACGATTTTTAAACACAGATATATGGAGTGACGTGCACAATGGAACGGTAACAACAGAATATTAAAAGTATTTTGAAGATGAAGTGGAAAACTTTGTTGTAGTTCCATCACAATTCAACTTAAACCATGCAGAGTAAAATTAAAAATACACGCTGTACTCAAATGAGATACAAATTGGCCACAAATCTGAATTTACCTTCTTAATTAACGTACAGCACAACTAATTAAGGAGATAATTTTCAACTCTTTGCTAATCTGCTGTTGAATTAAGGCCTCCTCACTCTGGGCTTATCATGGGAAGTTGTTGGCCATACAGTACTTCTCCATGCCGGTTAGTGTGGGTTGGTAAAGGGCAGGGTCCAGGGTAAGTTCAGATTTTTCCAACACAGATTGCACAACTACTTTTGCAAACATCAGTCAGGAGTCTTCATGGTGTTGTTCACAGTTTCCAGTAAACTTTTTTTGGCAGTTCTGGAAAATCAACAGTAGCAAATGCACCAAGTGAAAGTCTAACAAAAATGCATAAACAGTGATAGCAGCAGCAAATGCTGGATACCACATTGAGTTTAGATGTATATTATTACGTGGCCTTCAAGAGGTGCCAAAAAAACAAGTGACGTTGGGCCAACATTGGCATGTGATTGGAAGTATTGGACCAACGTTGGCCTAACGATCCCATGTTTGCTGGTTGGGTGGGTTCAAGAGTAAATTATGAAAGTGTCATGAACCGCCACCTGTGGGTGCCTTTGTTCTTGTCACAGATTATCACTAAATATGGAAAATGACTTAAAGATAACTTTATCGTGAAGTCGATTTCGGCTCAATCACGAACACCCTCCAACCCACATTCGGCAATTTTCAAGTGGCTCTGCATCAACCAATCTGAGCTCTTCTGCGAGGTAGCCGCGAGGAGAGTAATACCCCAACAGAGCAACGAGCTGGCACCACTGAGATCTTGGATTGCGTTAGTATAGTAATATGTTTTTACCCTTTTATCTGGCACAAAAACTGACACCTTTATACAAAGGATCATGTTTGCAATAACCACAACACAAGCAGTCAAAATGCAAACAAAAAAAAGAGACAACTCTGATAATGATATGCACTGTCCTTGAATTTGATTGGTCCACACCCGAGACGGCTTTTCTTAGAGCCCAGTCTCCACTGGTGTTGGACCAGAAGACGCCAAAAGGCGTGCAACTCAAAAACAGCGCACCATCAGAGTATTGAGAGCTCGGGGTAAGCACTTACATTATGAGACCTCATTTGCCAGTAACAAGATATAGTAATAGGTTTTTACCCTTTTATCTGGATTGCGTTTGAGGAAACCACCTACAATGAAACCACATTCTCGAGTGCAGAGAGGTGATGATCTGAGCCAGGTCAAACAAAAACTCCCCTCATGAAATATGGTTGTTGGCTTACTTCAGCCTCGGTTTGATTGCCAAGTGAAAACAAGCCACTTTAGCAAGGCATATGCAGCAATCGCGCAGTGTGGACAAGAGGCGACCATAGCAACATTACAAGTAGTTCTCTGACAACCTTTTCCAGAGGCCGTTCACTGGCATGAAGCGAGGATAAAAGGATTTTGCCGATAAATCCAAGTTAAAATAAGATAACAGCGATGACTTTATTTTTTAAACAATTGAAAGAAAAACGGCTGAATAAGTATTTCGAACAGATTCCAGAAAAAAATAATGCATTATATATACAGTATATCACCCAGGCAAAAAACATCTGCTGAGGGCATGTACACAATACATTTAATAAGATACTTTGAGAAGCTTGGTTGTGAATCAGAAATGGGCTCATTGTGTGTGCGCACGCGTGCAGATTGTGTATGTCGATGTGTTTGTTTTATTCTCAACACATTTGCACCGCACTAAAATGTTGTCTCATTTTTCAAGCATTCAGATAATGCCTGCAAAAATCAAGGTCCACGGACGTTGCTGCGGCGTTAAACGGCGCAATAAATCACATCCCCAACACGACCTTTAATTAAACAAATGGACATGACTTTGGGGGAATCATTTTGGTCCAAGTCTCAGGGTCGACCTTATAACCGTAACCATTTAATTAACCTGAATGTCGTTAGAGATGTGTTTTGTAAAAAAAAAGCCTTCAATTCACAACTGCATAGAAAATTAACAAACAAAAGAGATATATATAGATAAATGGTACGATGTGATTAATAAGAGGCTGCGGTTTAATCGGTGAAGGGTCAATTGTTGCAATGCGGGCCGTAGTTGTTGTAGTTGTTAAGGCGAGAAGGGGAAAAGGTGACTTGCAGGGGAATGGCATTTGCACTCTGGCAAATGCAATTTCCAGAACCACCTTATAATTACTGTACCCCGGCTGGCAGCGTCGAGTCGCTGGTTCATCAACAAGTGGCGTTAGTTGCAATACCGCTTGTTACAATACCTTCATGTATCCCTGCAAGCCCTATGACGAACCTGCGGTGGTCACCCATCCAAGCACTAACCATGCCCAACCCTGCTGAGCTTCCGAGGTCTGATGAGATCGGGTGCATTGCGGGTGAATTAGTCCTATGGCTACATGTTGAGCAGTAGAGGGGGGTAGTGCATCAACATCCGTTGTTGTACTGCACGTCTATGTTCCCCATCTTCATCAACGGGCACTGACCAGTGTGGTGAAGTACGGTCAAATGAGGAGGTCTTTCCGCCAGCAGTGAATTGACAAAAGGGCAGCCATGTAAATTACATTTCCTTCAACGAAGTTGATTACATCACATTTCTGAAAGGGTGGTCAAAGTCAGTGTCATGTGACAAACACATCTCTGATAGCAGTTTTTAGGCCAGTGGTGGACATTCCCCTTGGACACGGTCTTTGGTGATTTACAGTCTTCCAATCGCTGTTCACTTACACAAATTGGCCTACTTTTATCTCACAACCACACAATTTGAACTCGAAACCCTTCCAGTTTTGAGTCGAGCACTCTCAACGCAGCACCACCTGACTGCCTACAAACCATAACAGACATCACAATATTAAGCAGAGGAAATCTCGAGACAGTTCAATCCAGCTAGGGACGACGGATACCAATTACCACCGACGTTTACGCATTTAAATCAAACCTGGCATTCTGGGAATAGACATGTCAGTGCAGTAATCAGTGTTAAACTCCTACAAAGACTCCCCAAATAGCCTTAACAGACTATTGGGAAAGTGCTGTTAGCGGGCACCTATGAAGGCTGGCATGGCACACGAGGGGGTGGGTGGGCCAGCACCACGCCCGGGCTGCCTTTCTCTCCCTAGTGTCGATAATTACACACCGCACCAGGTAATAATTTGAGGCTGAGTAAACCTAGAGGAGGCCCAGGACCGGTTCAGATATTCATCACAGGTGTTGGCTTTGAGCGGGAATCGAACTCCGGTCCCTGGGTTCATAGAGCAGCGCGCTAACCGCTACACTACCACTACAAACAACAACAACAACCGCCATTCGCCACTAAGTGGCGGTGACGTCACCACGACGCTTGTGCCAGGCCATGTGCACCTTGAGGCCACTACAAACAGACACATCCACACACACATTTACACACATATGCATGCGCAAGCACACAACAATGCTGCCCATATTTTATCTCCGAAATGGAATTGAAATTGGCTGTATACAGCTAAGTGACTCAATGGGTTAGCTAATTCTATACCTGGATTATAGCCAATAGGAAACTAATGAGACTCACTAAGTGGTGCGCGAATCAATCAAGCCAGCGCTAACCCTGACTACCACCTTTTGTTCTTTAAGAATCCATATCGCAGGCACAATATGTCACGATGCAAATAGGTTAACGCAAATACAATCAGAGCAAACCAAAGGGGAGTTGGTACAGCAACAAGCACACGCAACAAGCGCGAAATGTTTATGCCTGTTGCTGTGCACCACCAATTAGCACGGTTGGCTACGTGGGGCGCAAAAGAGGCTCAACACACTTTCGTACGTACACCACTACTGTCAGGTTTTTTTTTTATATCCAGGTGCACAGTGAAGGAGAGTGACAAGTGTGATTGGGTGTTCCATTGGTACAGCAACTTCACCTCCCAGTGGCAGTGTCCATTGGTTCAAGCTCTGACCTCGGCCCACACGCGGTGAGCTCTTCTAACCCTTGCACATGTGTCGCTTGGTATCCAATGAGGTGACACACTGACGTACGCTGCAAAATTCATGTTGCAGGAGTGCATGCGGGAATAATGCCCCACACCTTTGATTAACATGGTTGGCTACGCGCCGGTGCGCAAGAAGACGAACATGCGTACAACGCAAAGGCACCGATGGTCTGATGAACAGGGCTGGGCAGTGACAGATAGTCATTCGAGGTTCAGAAAGACAAACGCAAAGATTATAATGACAGCTGGCCAGTGGAGACGTAATGATTCGCCCTGTGGCGATTCATCGTGGTGAATGTAGCCGTCACTAGAGGGTGCAGGGGTCACATAAACTCGTATCACACGGCAAATACAAATCTAAAAACACTGATCCTTATATATGCGTTGTGATTTATGCATAGGGGGCATAACAATTTATATTCATTGATGAATTGATGCCCTGTGACACTTCTAGCGGGACGTATTGTCATAATAGAATGGGCAACCTCACGGGAATGCGAGTAGATAGGCAGGCAGTCAGAATTTAAGGACTGGCTTCAGACACATTTATGAATTCAAGCATTTCACCTGGAAAATCCCTCGAGACTCAGCACCTCCCTCGTTCGCCGCAGTGCCCAGCGTGTCATCTGACGCGTACGAAGCGAACACGGAACGACGCGTGCGCAAGCATTTTAAACGCGGCGCTTTTAACGTGGACGAAGGTGGCATGAGGTGGGATGAGTCCGGGTGAGCTTGGTGGAGCCGTGGGGGCTGGGTGCTCACCGGCGGTTCTCTCGGCTATTGTTGAACAGCTTGATCATGTCGGAGAGGAACGCCTGCCGCACCTCCATGAGCTCTGCACTGGGCGCCGAGCTCTTCAGCAGCGTGGCCACCACCTTCAGGATCACTGTGAGCGCGGCAGTCGGTCACAGGTGCACAGTCACGCCTGTCAGAGCTCCTTAACAGAGGGTTGCAACAGGTGGGCTCACAGCGTCCCCGTGTTGCTCAAACACGCATGAGGATGGCACTCGTCTCTGCTGCCAGCAGTGCACATTCTACATCCCTTGGCCAGTGGCGGCCTCACTTGTATAGCGAGCACTGTGGACAGAATAATAAATTGATAAAATAAAATAAGAGAATATTATCGTGTTATTTTATTTTATCAATTTATTATTTTATTCTCATTCTACGTGACTTTACCGAAAGAACCAAAGAAGATGAATCATTGCAGTCACGAAATCTTTAAATCGAAACTGTGGACAGATTTCTGTTGTCGATGACTCTTACGAGGGCTCAGTTCATGCAGACGTTGTTTTCGTACTTTCGTGGAATTTATGGCAATTGTTGCAAAAGATAATACACCAAATTCACCACTGAGTGGAGCCCCAAGCCGACCAATCAGAGTCTGTCCATCTCTCACACACACGCATGTGGAATGTAGAACGATGCAAAAGATGGCCAAATGCTACTTCAAAACAATTATGGAGGCCATGGTGATGATGACACAAGATGAGAATAAATTCAGATTATTTATTATTTAAGTTACAAATTAATGAATCAACATCGTACACAGCCACATGTGCTAATCGGAGGTTATGATTATAAAACGTACAGTATCATCAGCAGTATAATCCATGTACAGAATCATCATCAGCATGCATTTTCCATAATCAGCATTATTATATTTATCACTGTCATCAACTTCTTCAGCATTATAATTCACTATTACCATAATCTTCATCAATATATTTTAGCTTCATCATCATGATCATCTTCATGTGCATTTACATTTGCACAAGCATTTCACTCCTTTCAGGAGCATTCAAAACTCCATGAATGGAAAAGAAAGTTGTGGATTGCACATGAGTTTGCACGTGAATTTGAGTGGAATGGGCCACCACACTCTCAGTGCTCCCTGTCCCAAATCATGACCAGGATGATTTCTGCCCTAACCATGCCCAAATATTGCCAATTTAGCAATTTTGTAAAATGGTGCAAAAGTGTGTGCTTTTGGGTAGAATTGGCTGCACATGAATTACAAAATGCCGATGTAATGGGGATTTATGGCCCAACATGGCCACATGTATTGGGTCGAAAGTGTCTGCCTGTGCAAGTGAGTGTTGGGAGTGGCACTCGGCTTCATTGCCAGCCTTGACTGATGCCACATCCCCAAGGTGTGGGGGGGGGGGGGCAGTTTCTCCACAGGACAACCGCCGTTGACCTCTCCAACAACGTGAGACCCATTTTAATGACCCCCCCAAAAAAGCCGATTGGCTGGGTCGATCCCCAACAGTGGGCTTACCTAGCAGGTGCTATGCCTGACCGAGCATTCTAACCACAGGACCCCCTGGACATATCGCATTACAGTATGCAAGTTGTGTGTTTGGTGTTTGGAAGGTCGTGAAATTCATTAGCAGTACACTTCCAGCCAATTCAATGTCTCTCCCGTCACAGTAAGATGTGTATTTAAAAATATACATTTGTATTAACCTTGCAGAATAATCATATCGAAAATGCAATTACCTAGTGCTTAAGTTTCCCAATCACAATATTCAGCAAATGATAGATATTTGATGTAACGTAAATATGGACACAGATTGAGACTACTTTCATCCATTAAGTTTTTGTTTTTAATCCATACCTTGTGATCCACTCAAGGCAATGTTAAATTGTCTCCCTGCCCAAACAAGATTGGGGCAATATTTATCCCCACTGGAGGTCCAGAGTCAGAAGTGGAAATTCCATATTCCTATGGCAGTAGCCTGTCTCTTAATAACAGCAACACTGTTGATTTCCCACAAAGTGATATCATGTTGCTGATCCTGGGTAGGATTTTAAACTCACAACCTTCAAACTCTTGCAACTGCACCATCTGCCTTGACATTTTATATTTAGTAATAATAATATACATCCCTCTCGATCAGCTGCCAGATGAAGGCATCTCCATGTTATTTCCGGTCATGGAGCTGACCACACTTCGCCATGCTGGTCAGATCAAGTTGGTGAAAAGGCAGCCAAGGACCAGTTCAGATTTCACTTACAAATGATTTTAGTTTGACCAGGAATCGAACTCAGCTATTAGGGTTCGTAGATCAGTGTGTGAAGCCACTAATGGCTGGATAAACGCGATCGCTATTTCTCAGCGACACAAATAAACCAATGTGCACAGAGCGCACAAATCGCATTCATACACAGACCAGTGGGATCCTGGTAAGACAAAAAAGGAGCGCCTGATATAGTAATCGCTGTCTTTTGGACAAATACCACCTGCACAGAGCACGGCCAGGCACCTGCTCACCCTTCACTCGGTGATACATGCAGGAGAAGCAAGTGTGTCAATCACACAGCGTGACAGAGGGCCAGTATGTATTTTAAAACACCGCAGCCAAGGAATATACGACCAACACATCAGCCTAGAAAGAAGATTTGTATGTGAAAACTGATCCATAATATTGACCCAGAGTGGTGAGAAATAACCTTTATATAAGGGGCTCGACTGACCAATCAATAAATAAAATCTGCAGTAAAACATGTTGCAGTTATACGGATATATACGTACACATTTAGTGTAAAAATGATGTAAGGCTTTGGCCCTCAGTCCACAACCAGTGGTATTTAGAAGGACATGAGCAGGAGAGCTATAAATTATAACCTGATAGTCCAGTTCCCCTGCAACGGAAATTAATGTGAAGTTTATGACGACAGGGTTAGCAATCTTATGCCATTGATATAATAAAGAATTGAGGAATATAGCTAAATAACTTTCAAATTAGTTTAACCAAGGGTGCTGAAATAAGAAATATTGTATAACACGCATACTGTTGTCGTAAATCTTAACATTATGTTAGAGGTGGAGCACACATTTAGGATGGAAAGGTTACCAAGACATTGCAGGCAATGGAGTGGCAAACAGAAGTCAAAGAGCTCGGGGAAGGCTATTAGCGATGGTAGGATGATGTTTGAACAGATTTTATAAGACACAGGTGTTGATTGTGCAACAGTGGAGGTATCTTGGAGGAAGGCAGGAAGCAAAGGCATGGTGCGGAAGCATCAATACCACTGGCTGTGACCGCTCCTTGGCCACGACTTCAGGTTAGAGTCGAGGAATTCCACTTCGCTTAGCACAATTTCTTTTGAAACAATCACGGTTTTCCGAACGCAGGCCCGACGTATCAGAGGCAGCACAGCAACAAACAGCGCCATTGGTAAAGCGTACTAGGCGAGAGATAAATACAATTGGTGCAGGGGAGGAGACACGTACTCGGATTTTGAATCTTTACAGAGGAGTCGGGTTCCGGGTGTTGCTTGTGAACCACCTGGGTGCACACCTGCTCTGTGAGGATCTGCACGCACAGCAGCACCGTTTGTAATGGGACGAAGGAGTCAGTACACTCGCTGTGCAATGCTGTACGCAGCGATACGATGAGAAATGTGCGTTTTAGATTAGAGTAGAACCCCTCTTAACGACGGCAATTGGTTCCACCAAACCGGTCGTTACGTGATTTGGTCGTTGAGCCAGTATAGCAAATACACGTTAAAGGCTTAATTAGTTCCGACAGCATCGAAAGTTACCCGTTTCCACACAATAAAACGTACTTTATAATATTTAAACAATGGATATTAATACATAAAGGTACGAACAACATTATAAACATATAACATTAAAAGAAACATGGTTAATCAATGCATTAATTACGAGTTACTGTACCTACAACAGCCCATCATTAACAGGGGAATGGTCAGGAAGTGAATACATTGGGCTCTATGGAGGCACTACACTACACTATACACTTCACTAATATATACTACACTACTATACACTACACTACTCTACACTACACTATACACTACTATATACTACACTACTATACACTACACCACTATACACTACACTTTACACTACACTATACACTACACATTGGGCTCTATGGAGGCCCGTCGTTAAGCGATTCATCATCAACAGGGGTGGTCGTTAAGAGGGGTTCTTCTGGATTGCCCGTTATAAATTTCCACGTGATGATACGCCACTTCGTTGAGCTATCATTTGTGGCCAGGTCACTTCTGTAAAAGAACTATAATATAGCTCAGTGAACCTTACCTGCTAAAATTCCAACACACACCCAAGTTTAAAACAGTGTCTGAATTATGCACCTCCCGCATGACTGGACTAACGTGAAGGCGTTAATCCAGCCATGTTTACGAGTCCAAAAGAAATGCTGTTTGGTAACAAGGTATTGAGAGCCACCATGTGAATAAGCAACATCTAGCCTGGAAATTTAAATATTTTGAGTGCAACTGAATCAATAAATAACGAATCACTTAATAACTGTACAACCTACATTTACCCGAATGAGAGAACACTGAGATTCAGTGAAAAAACCCTATGGTTTTCACACCTGATGATGATTGCTTGTGTTTCAATCGAAACGTTGTGATAAGTTGATAGTTTTACTATTATTATTTAATTATTTCCCTTCTACGTGACTTTACCGAAAGAACCAAGAATATTAATCCCTGCAGTCACGAAAGCTTTAAAACGAAATATAATGTAATTGTTAGGTAATTTTGGCCAGCAGGCTAAGCACAGTTAGCCAGCCGTACCTTCCGTCAGCTAGATCTTGGCTTGGTGTCATGTGTGCTACGCACTAGGCTACCCAGCCTGCTTTGCAGCATATAATGGTCAAACGATTTCAATGGAATTGTTTGGTAATTTTTGTCAGCTCGCTACAGTAAGCACAGTGAACCAGCCTTACCATCATGTAGGAGACCTCTGATCATGTCTCGCTAATTTCCATACCTCGAAGAGAGTGTTGTAGGTGGTCATGGAGAGCGTATTCGTGTTGAGCATCAGTCTCTCTCCCAGCAGTGCAAACAGGCTGTGCGTGTGCATGATTTCAACTTTGCGCCTACACACCAAGGCACGGCCGATGCAGAGACACAGGCACACATACATACATACACATACTGACCTCTTTACCTCGATCGAAACTCGAATGTGAAAGTTTGATTTTGTATAATTCGATATTTGCACTTTTGTGCTCAGGAATAGGAACCCTACCCTGGGGTTTGAATCCAATGGATGGCAAGCCTTCCTCTAATTTAGAAATTGTTTGAAATATGCCGCGTATTTTCATGCCTATTAAATAGACATACAACTGTAATGTTAACTTATAACTTAGGATTTTCGCATTCTTATAATTGTTAATATTATTTTAATCACACCTTCCAATTAAACAGCCAAACATAGAACCCAACACACCGTCGCAAGGTTGACAAATTCAATTCACAGTTGGGGGGTTCACCTCAGCACTTCATGCCTTCAGGCTCAACAACATGAAGTACTGTTTTACAGGAAGTCGACTGAGTCGACTCTTCACTAGAATTAGAATTGGCAACCTTCCGATTTTGACCCGAGTGCCCTTTCAGCGGTGCCAACTGGCCACAGCAAATGCTTAAAACTGAATTAAAAAAAAAACAAGATAATAATTCAGAGCCCTTTGGAATTTGACTCCCAGGTGTAAGCATCCTGACACTGTCCGTTCTGAGGTTTTGTTTGACCGCATTTCCCCACGCTGGTCAGTGAAGGTCGGTGAAACGTGGAGTCACGATGCTTTTGTTTCCCTCGTGCTGACACCACTCATGATCGATGATAGACATGGAGAGTAAGACAACTCAAGTTGCTGGGTCCATAACACAGTGCACTGACCACTGCGACACTGCTCCAATTAAAAATCAGAATCAGAATCTTTATTTGTCCTGGAGAAATCCGATGAGCTATGAAGCTCTTTTTCGCAGACGTCCAGTCGGGGCGGGTCAGCAAGTAACAACAAAACAACACGAAAAACGATACGAGTGTAAAATAATCCCGGTACGCTTGACCACTGAGACACATACGAAGCGAGTGATGGCTACGGTGGAATTATTTTGCTCGTAAGTTGGTCCCAGGCACAGCCCACGTGGCACTCACTTGTGGGCCAGGTGCTTGAGGAAGTAGCCCAGGACCTTGAGGGCCTGAACGCGGATGCTCTCGCTCTTGGAGGCCAGCAGCTTGTACACAACCCTAGAGCAGCACGGGGCACGGTGTGGCCCGAAGACAGCACACGCACAGGGCATTGGCAAGAAACGCACGGCAGCTTTCCTTCACAGCAGTCATTTCAGGCAGCTTTGTCCATGGCTGTGGGATAATAGCTTAGTTTCCTCACCAGCAAAAAGCAGGAAACACGAAATAGTTTACACACATCGTCATCACTGAATATGTATACCACGCCTCCCATATAGTAACTCTCGAGGCAACCTGTGGCAGGGGACCCACCCGCGGCAGGTACAAGGTGAACACAGCAGTAGCAACAGCCAAAAAGGGGCAATTAGAATGCCAGGAGGGGCCGATGTTGCGATGCGACTTTCCAATTCAGTATTTTGTGAGAAATGTATCAAAATAGGCAGTCTTAAAGACACATTAGCTCGAGGCAGGTGGACGAATTAAGAGAAAGTAGTTTTCCACTTGTATGCATTCATGTATGTTGAACTTCTTTCACACCGTACATAGCCAACTGTGCCAATTGGAGGTGAACATCGACCAATGCTTGAACAAGCATGGGTCGGTGTTCATGTCCATATCCCGGAACAAGTGGTGGAACTCCACATACCTGCAGTTGGGACGAGTCTATCCACGGCACAACCACTGCTGACTTCCCACAAAGTGGTACTCTGTTGTATTGGCCTTTGAAGAATAAAGGGTGGGACACACAGCCTCCCAACTGTGAGTCACAGCCTTCCAGTTCTCACCATTGTGCCACACGACGTAGTTATATATTCAATCCCTGAATAGGACAAACGGATAGCTCTTCATTGGTTTAAGTGTTATCAAAACGACACTAAACGACTCCACGCATTTCAATCAAATCTCTCCAAAAGCTATTGATGAGTGGCGGCGGGGTGTTTGATGGTACTTTACCGAGCTGGTTGGTACAAGTTGGTGAAGGGGTGGGGGTGGTGGGATGGATCACTTCAGATATCGCGTGCCACTGGTGCTAGCCGTGACTAGCAATCAGATTAAACGCAATAACAGTGACTTCAAAGGGGCACTCGAAGGTTCCAGCTGACTACCGGGAATCAACATTTCACGGGGAAAGTTGCAGCATGTCCTTGCTTACAACCGATTACAAAACAAGCCGTCACAATCCTGCGTCACATCACGATGCTGCGAAGAATACACAATACGCTGCACTGCAATATTTCATGGAGGCGCGGGTAGACATCATTGACGCTGTGATGTGAGCTCATATTTACTCAATTTTAGTGACTCACGCGAGTGAATTATCAAAATAAATCCATTGCATAATTTAACATTTTTGATTAATTTAATACATAATGATTTTACCAACCTAAAAATGTGTAACTGAAATAAGACTAATTTGTTTTCATGTAAAATGTGCAAGATCTTTCAGTTTTGGTGAACAAAGTTCTGTTGAGTGCCCTATTTAATACTGCATTTTGGGAAAGAATTGTCAGAGACTGGTACGTTCATAAAAAAAAATGTTTTATTTCTGCAGGCGCTTGTGATCATTTTGCTTAGAACCCTTGTAGTAGAACACAAAACTTCGAGTGCCATTTCTGGGAACCTTTCTCACCAATATAAAACATTGTTGTTCCATAATGTGTCAAAATAAATATTAGTTTAGTTTTCCGTGGTTTGCTGCATTTAAAAATCAGCTTCACTAAGAGTATATGTATATCTATATATGAACACATTACAAACTAAATATAGCTAGAGCGGTGCTGCCCATCGGAAGGTGTTGGTCGTTATATAACATTCAATCGCGTAAACTTTATTTTAAACGAATGCAGTTTAAAAGAACATGAAGAACACAAATTACATTTATGGTGACGATTCATCTGTTTTGGTAAATGTCCAGTAAGCCCTTGTATTTGTATCACAATCAGGTTTCCGCTTGTTTGTTAATGTTGACAATGATTGACAAACCCAGGGCTAGAACATTTAAGACATCAGTTGGCCTTGTTTTACACTATCGGTCTGATGTATGATTAAACGACAGACAACTTTGGAAAAAATAATAATACTTCATTGTAAAATTTACACTATTTTGTAACTTGAAACTATGAGTTTGCATTAAACACAGTTGAAGAAAAGAGGAGGTATCATTTATTTTGTTCATAATACTGGTTCCTTTTAGGAAATGGCATCTTAAAATAACTTCGGTAAAAACAGCATCTGCTCTAGACCTTTGTAAACAAAGCCACATTCCCACTGTTTTGTTATGGCTTGCCTGTGAACTCACAACTGCGTATATTAATAACGGTTGACATTTCCCCACAAACACATTCCTCGCCAGCAAAAAGCCAACAAATTGAGACGCATTTCTCCCACTATTTATATCTACTTTCCAGACAGGCACTTTTAAATAGTACTCGTACATTCTATAATGAAAACAAGTTGTAAATAAATTTTGATTTAAAGCTTTCGTGACTGCAGTAATTCATATTCTTAGTTTTTTCGGTAAAGTCACGTTGAAGAGAAACAACAAAATAACAAAACATATATAAAACAATAAAAAATTCTCACGACGTTTCGACCATAACTCAAACGGTCATCATCACCATAACTCAAACGGTCATCATCACCTGATGATGACCGTTTGAGTTATGGTCGAAACGTCGTGAGAATTTTTTATTGTTTTATACATGTTTTGTTATTTTGTTGTTTCTCTTCAACGTGACTTTACCGAAAAAACTAAGAATATAAGTTATAAATAATATAACTTGCTGAGAATAAAGCTTTAGCTATGTAACTTTAAGGTGTGTACTTACGTGGTCTGAACCCATGTGTAAGGTAAGACAATACATTAAAACACATTACACTAATGGCAGTGATGTTAAGAGCATGTGAACCGGAATACAGTTGAGCTCATGAGCACGGTTTGCAGGATTCTACATTAGGTTAAATTACATTAAATAAATTGACAACCCGCTGCATTATGATTGATGGATATGCCTTTCAAATGCTTAATTTCATGTCTTCACCTCTCTACCTCTGTATAAAGCTTAGTCGACATTTATTCCGTGCAAAATCCCAAACAGGCTGCCACATTTTGGTCCAATATCCAAAAATGTTTACCTTTCACCAAAATAGAAGCGGCAAATAAATGGTACCACCTTCGCCAATGACACTGCCTTATATCAGAAAAATATATATAGTAAACTCGTTTATTTTTCAGAGGCCAGTTTTGAGTAAGACCATTGTAATGAAACAGTCTACTATAAAGGTGGCACGTTTTCTATCTTTTAATCTGTAGACAACTGCAAACTCAGTCCCTTGATACTATATTTTAATCGAAAATATAAACCAAAATAAGGTTAAGAAAATAAGCACAGCACATGCAATTATTAGCCACATGGTCAGTTTAAATGTACAAAGCTGCGTTCAGTTTCAGGCCATTTTCAATGCCCTACATTTGTAGCTGTTAAAGCACTCAGCTATTTGCAATAATCATTGTAAAAAAAAAGTCATTCAAACCAGACTCTGATAGCGTTTAAAACATGCTCAACGTTCACTCGAAAGCGTTTTCCCCGTAACGTGACGCGAAAAAGATCGTTCACAAAAGTAAGCGGCAATGTGCGTTAAGTACCCATTTACCAGTTTAATTAAGAGAACTGAAGCAGAGAGAGAGAGAGAGCATGCGGGTTGTTGCCTCGGGATCTTTGCCAAATATGACCACCGGTAGCACGCATGAGTGGCACGGCACGGAGCCACTGCTGGAAAAGAGTTAAACAACACACGGCCAAAAATCTGCCGAGCATGCGTGAGCTGTGTCCATACTCTGCAAGAGAGGAGCCCATACAATGAGGGCCCAGTCGCAGGGGGAAATGGACGTCAGGCGCGTCGGCATCGACATCGCCGATGCTCAAGAGCACGCTGTAGAGCACACGGCGGAAGAAGACGACATGAACGCGTGAACCCGCGCAGTGCGCGCAAGGGGGAACCTCGCGGGCAGCAGTAGCGTAACGAAGCGTGGGGGGGAGGTGTCTTGCACCGCCCCCCCACCTCCCTGGTGGCCGAAGCTACGAGTTGGGGCCCCCCTTGACAACCACCATGATAAATGTTTTTCAACAGAAGTGTAAAAAAAAAACAACAAACGTGTATGAAACGCGGTTTGCATACTTTTATATGAAAATGTTTTCATACAGTAGTGGCGGCATTTTGCGTAGACGGAGCGCCCCCAACGGCGTTAAAAGTTCGAGACCGTGAGCGTAACGATGATGTGATTAGGCAAAGAGGAGCCGCGACATGTAATTGCCTTCAGATGCGACCGTGTGAGACAAATCAAATATTGGGGGGTTCCCACGTGACCGATTGTCGCAATCCCTTAAGCTGAATAATGTCGTTACTATGCCACTGCTGGGCCAGGAGGCTCCGCGGGCTGACACCAGCTCGGACCTCTGATGAGATTGTGAGTTTTTTTTTATCTGAGCAGCCACCCACAGCTAAAGCACGCGCTCCAAGTGGAGCGGAGTGTTGCCCCTTCAACCCACTCGGTGGCGGTTGTACGAAAGACTCCGCAATGTTAGATGTGCGTTATCGCAATGTGAATATCTTTTAGCGGCCGGAATTGAAATGCTACCCCTCTCTTTTGTCATGCAATGAACACTCTCCCCGGGGGCCATGGCAAAAAAGTGCAACACCGTAGTGCAGGGGTCGGCGAAGTTTCAAAGAAGAAGAGGCATTTTTTTATTTAAAGCTTTCGTGACTGCAGTGATTCATATTCTTGGTTCTTTCCCTTCAACGTGACTTTACCGAAAGAACCAAGAATAAGAGCCATTTTTGTTTTGTTTTTGTCTGTGACCAAAATAGACGCATCACACGCAGGGCTAGTTGTACACAAACACACCAGCAGGTAAACAGCAGATGACAAACAAACTCTCATTTGAATAAACAAAATAGGTGATGGAATAAACTGCGTCTATTTAGTTCATTCCCCCCTTAGTTATTCTTTAACAAAACAATTTTATTGTTGTACATTTTGTCGTCACAAAGACATTCCATAGTGACCCCCATTCCCTGCCATATTTAATACATTATCTTCAGGTGAATTCATGTTGAAGATTCAAGGGTTTTTTTTTTTTAATAGAAACAGCTGCCCACAAGGGGACAGCCAAAGCCAAAGAGCCCACCCCATGTGGCTGCAGGTTGCTGACCCCTGACCCAGTGGATAGAAAACCGACTCGAGATTACTTCTGAAGTAGCCCCTGCAGAAATATACCGCCTAGAAACCATGTCCTGACACGAGGTGATACAACTCCATGCTGTGAGACATCTCAGCACAGATGTCCTTGTTGCTGAACGTGATGCCAGGGTCACAATTAAAATATAATAAGAATAAGAACATTTAAAGAAAAATATCCCGATCTCACACTTTTGATTGTATCTTCGGCAGCAGAAACAAACTGTCTCAAGAGCCATGGCTGATAACTTAAAAAAAAAATCAACGACACCACATGGTCCTTCTCTGTTTAGCCCAGGGGTCGGCAGCCAAAATAACAACAACACTCAACATTGCAAGAGCCGCAATGCACGTGAATACGAGGCGGCGGTCCTCAATAAATGATGCCACGAAGCGGCCCTCGAAAGAGCCGCAGGTTGCCGAGCCCAGCGGGTGGCTGCTGCACCCAGGGCTTACCGGATGCCGTTGCGCTGGTCGAAGGCTGGGATCATGGAGGCAGGGTGCTCCGACATGAGGGCAACCAGAAGCTGCAGGACATCGTGCAGGTTTTCATCCTGATGATGCAAGGACACAACAGTGGCCTGGTTTATAATAGTCGACACCCGCCAGCACTTGATGTGTAACAATCAGCACACCCGCGGTTAACGTTAACGCGCACAACGGCACAGCGAAAGTTAATCATTATCATTCGGCAACCGTGGGTTTTGACGCCATTCTTACAGCGCAAGGCTAACGGGAAGGCGTTATGTTTCACAGACGAGTATAGTCTACCAGTGAGGTGCGATGTTGCCGTGTGGTTTCACCCCAAATGACCAACTTGCGAGTCGTTCTTAAAAATTCGGACCGTGACGCCGGCACACATGGCCTACTCTCACGGGATCTTCAACGTCTACCTATTAAGCAGGCGGCGTGTGGCATATGTGGTTAATGCACCCACAGTATTAACCAGAGTGGCCGGTGGGTTTGGACTGCGACCCTCTGCAACAATGTGGCAATCGCACGCGGCCACACAGCCATGCCAACGTCCATTGACAGCCTATGTTAGGCCTCCATGAATTTGGAGCATTCCCTCCAAGGGGTTCCCACTTGGTTGCACAACCAGTGTGCATCTTCTCCAATGCATGCTGTCAATTGTTACCAAAGGATCCTGCTTGTCGTGAAGTGAAATATATCATATGATAACAGTCAATAAGTAAAAGCCATCAAAATAAAGAAATGAATGTTAAATATGGTGAGGTACACAAATGTTTGCTATCAATCTCAGGCAAACATTTATTTAATATGATTTCCCATTAAAATGTGCACTTTGTTGATGGTCTAGTTTCAGTAAGCAAATAAATTATGTTTATAAACTGTAAACAGTAAATTCAGTTTCCAGCAACTTATCTGAGACTGGTTTTCGAGTGATGCATGTTGCAGTGATGGAAATGGGCCAGAATCTGTTGGAACGCCGTGGTGGGAGTGAAAATTTGAACCCGATTGCGTTTCGGAAGGAATTAAGAATTCATCTTTTTTTCTTAAATTAATTTGACTCACAGATAGACTCCTAGACTAATAGAGAAACTCACAGACACACAGAACCCCACAGACACGCTCAGAGACCCACAGTCACGCTCAGAGACCCACAGACACACACAGAAACCCACACAGACGCTCAGAGACACACACATGAAGTGATGCTCATCCTTCTCCCCCTTCTCCTCAAATCTAGTGGGGGGCGGGAATCATTTATGAGTTCCCCCAGTAATTTCTTCCAATTTCCAGCACTGGTAAGTTGTGAAGCAATGCCTGAATCCTCTACAGTGTGAACTACAGGTGTAAATATTTCATCATCAGAGAGTACAGGATGGGAGACCTGTTTGCATGAGTGCCTGGAATTCTATGATCTGTGGAGGGAGCTGAAGGTTCGAGTTGCCAAACGTCAGCCTCGAAACCTTAATGACTTGGAGAAGATCTGCAAAGAGGAGTGGAACAAAATCCCTCCTGAGATGTGTGCAAACCTGGTGGCCAACTACCAGAAACGTCTGAACTCTGTGATTGCCAACAAGGGTTTTGCCACCAAGTACTAAGTCATGTTTTCAGAGGGGTCAAATACTTATTTCCCTCATTAAAATGCAAATCAATTTATAACATTTTTGACATGCGTTTTTCTGGATTTTTTGTTGTTATTCTGTCTCTCACTGTTCAAATAACCCTACCATTAAAATTATAGACTGATCATTTGTTTGTCAGTGGGCAAACGTACAAAATCAGCATGGGATCAAACACTTTTTCCCTCACTGTAGGCATGTACACTCGTACCCCCCCCCCTACCTACCCCGTGCCCCCCGCGATGGAATGAATCGTCACAATTCGGTAAAAAAAATCTACGTGGAAAGTGTGGCGAATATAGCGTCTCTAGTGGCTGCAGATATCACATGACCCTATTACATACAATACACACAAACGGAAAAAAAAGCAATTCTTCTATGCACAATTCAACGCATGCAACGCGAAACTGAACAACACATATTGCTGTTGATGCCATCGGTGCATCATCACTTTCCTAGCAGGCACTATAAGCAAACAGTTGAAGCGATTCTCTGTGAAACTGACGGCAGAGTGAAGGAAGGAGCACTGGCGGTTCCATACAGAACACGCTTAATACAAACAGAGTGCCAGGAGCTTATTTCCTCGGGGGCAGGAGGTGAAGAGTAGCTAAGAATAACCGGCTCTTTGGAGGCTGTAGATGATGGGTAAAGATGCACAGGGAGAACTCAGTTTTATTTATTTATTTAGTATAGATTTATACTTAAAATTTCGATGTGTATTGTATTATGATTGTTATTTGGATCAAACATCGAAATGGAATTTTTTTGCACTTTTTGTATTCAGCATGGACGGGTTTGTGCAGGATTTTCCTGCAGGATTTTATTGTTTGCGTACGTGATGTTTAGATTTGTGTACAATGACTTTTAGGTGTATTTTGTAACTTTATCGTTCGTTGCGGTTGCACCCAAACCAAGAGCCGAATGGCTCACAGGGTAAATCCTAATAAATGAAACTGAAGAACTGAAACTGAAGGTTGTTGTATTACAGTGCTGCGCACATACAACTGGGGAATTCGATGCAGTTTATCCTGGCTGTCTAAGGCGAGCATTCCGCTCGAGATCCCTGTTATCTTCAAGAGGCGTGAATGTAAGGATACATACAAACATAAGCAGGAAAAAAATCAATACTTTGTGGTCCTTTTGTTTTTAAAAAACTATAAACTTTGTAACACGATTTTTGCCCCTGAGTAGGGTTATTTTCTAATTGCTCATGCCTCAAAAGTATAGAAAATACTCTTCTTTCGGTAAAGTCACGTAGAAAGAAAATAAATAAAATGATAGAATACGACGTTTCGAATGCAACACAAGCAACCTTCATCAGGTAAGAATTAATGGGAAAACAATCCTAGTAAACTTAGAAATATAATGCAATACAACACAGAGAGTCGGCTAACAGAACAGTCAACACCCTACCTGGTTGAAAATTGGTAAATTTCAAAATATCACTGTCTTGGTCACAAAAGCAAAGTTTGTGGGGCAATAATAGCCCTTTTCTGTACTTTTGAGGCATAAGCAATTCGAAAATAACACTTACTACCCAGGAACAAAAAAAAACTTTTTTTTGTTACACTGATCAGTGCAAACATGGACCTTGTTTTGTTGATCCACAAATATGGTTTCTTTTGACAAAAGTGCAACACGAGTAAACAAAACAAGTGTTTACAAATAAGCCCACGTAAAATAAGTGGAGGCATTTCTATCGACATCAGAATTATATAATTGAAATTTGCTCTTCCAACTTGCCACCCATTTCGATCGGTGAGCTTTACCTGAACTGCAGGGCTGAAAACAATGTCAAATCAAATCAGTGTCTCACCGCTCAACCATGCATGGGGAGGTTTCTATCCGAGCGTATGGCAATACATTTGAGGATCTAAATGCCAACCAATGTCGAGGTCCAATAGCCATGACGAGAGGGCTTCAGCAAAGACTTTGTGTAGTTTTGCTAGACCTCCTCCTCAGGTGAAGGTGCAAGACTTCAGTGGTTCCCTGTATGGTCCATAGTTTGAGATCCATTGGGAGGATATCATATTCTAAAACACGAATAGGGACCAGTTTCTCCACAGCAAAGCCACTGATGACTTTCCACCAAGTGATACACTCATTCTGTTGACCCTGGAATAATGACGGGATGAGTTGACTACCCACTGCTCTTTCCAAAGTATTGGTAAAAACACTGTCTTTCAAACAGTTTTATATACACATGTGTTAGTGTAAATTTATTAATTTGCTTCAGGGAGAGGAAGATCTGTGAGGATGGGATGGGGCTGTGAAAGCTTGAGCAGCATGCAGACACTGTGGTTGGCTTAACCGAGGTCACAGGAGGCTAATGAACATCTCATAAAGCATGATAGCGATGCAATAATGAAGATGCAATTCGCGTGCAATGCAGTGAATGTTTGTGTCTTTGCCCCGGCTGTTTTATAAATTTCCACATCATGGGCCACTATGTTGAGCTATCATTTGTGGCCAGGTCGCTTCTGAAAAGTAAGTTAATGCCTCAGTGGGCTTTGCCTGGTATGATGAGGATGGTTTGGTGTTGTATTTGTTTATGTTTGAGTGATTTGTTAACCTTTCTGGTACTTTGCACTACTATCGTGTGTTTGTACTGTTTGATGTTGTAACGTTCTTACCCGCCCCAACTGGACATCTGTGAAAAAGAGCTTCATAGCTCATCGCATTCCTCCAGTCTAAATACATTTTCTGATTCTGATTTCAAAATGACGAGGCGGTGGCGTGACAGCGTGTTTTGCTATTATCTGAAGGTTATATGTTCAAAATCTGGTCATAGGTTGCATCGGCCGTTCTCGTGGTTTGATCAAACAAGTGCCAATTTGCAGAACAAAGTAAAATGATGAACGAGGGTCACGGTCCATTAAATAAACGCACTCGAGCAGGGGAGCATGAGGCGGGAGAGAGTCAGAGGAGGGGTAACTAATTATCAACGGGAGATCAAGCCTTTGCTAGAACCCTGCTCAATACACAGCCTTCATGCGTCTCCTTGGCTCCTCGACACGGTTCCCCATGACTACTTAGCCCCCCCCACCCGCCCCCCAAAATTAAAAGCAACTACGTGCTGACATTCTCAGACATATATACACAAGGATAAAGACCCCCCCCCCCCCCCCGCCCGTATAGCCTGAACATACTGCTGGGGCAAGTGCTGTTAGCGAGCACCTATGAAGGTCGGAATAATACACTAGGGAGTGGGTGGCCAGTACCACGCCCGACCGCCTTTGTCTCCCTAAGTAGCGATGTTTACACACCACACCAGGTACTCATTTGAGGCTGAGTCGATCTAGGGGAGGCCCAGGACCGGTTTAAATAATCGTCACTGGTGTTGGCCGTGAGCGGGAATCGAACTTGGGTCGCCGGGTTCGTAGCGCAGCGCGCTAACCGCTACACTACCGCTCCCAGCTGATATATATATACACACACACATATGCATGAACACTTGACAGATT